CAGGGGAGGTCAGACCAGGGAAGGTCAGGCCAGGCCAGGCCAGGCCAGGGGAGGGGAGGGGAGGGGAGGCCAGGGCAGGTCAGGCCAGGCGAGGCCAGGCGAGGCGGGACGGAAGCTGGGCTCCTGCGTGCGCAGGGGACGGAGGTGGAGAAGCCGGGACTCAAGCACGTGGTTCCCAGGACGACGCCTGCCCTGGGCTGCGGCCGGTCCCCCTGCCGTCAGAGACGCCCACCCCGCAGCCAGGCCTTGTGACAGCCGCAGCACGGGCTGGTGGCCATCTTACGTTCCATTTACCTGGTGTAAGATCTCCTGGCGGGCGTGCGGCGGAGCTCCAGCCCGGTCACTGCTAGCTCTGCCAGCCTGGGTCTAAGGTCCCACTCGTGCGTGGGCCACTGCAGTGATGGCCTCCATATTTTAAATTTGCCTTTAGCATGCAAATTTAAAGCCCATCTACCAGCAGCGTAGATAGAATAAAATGTAAAACAGAAGTAATGGGAAAAAGGACAATGGGACCAGGACCGTATTCTGAGTCATTAGTTGAACTTGCAGCCAGGTACAGTGACTGCAACCAGACGCTTGTTGAAATGAGTTCTTACTGGGTGTTGGGCGTTAAATGCAGTCCAGCACCACTGAGACCTTCTGGAGACTGTCAGAAGGGAGGAGTCTGTGTTGTTTAGTGCCTGCTGTACTGTGTGAAACATCCTCTGTACCGCTGACACAACGTGTCCCCCTCACGGTACCCTTCCCTCCTAAGAATTCACAGTGTGCGTTGTGCGCCTTTCCCAGTTCCAGGCCCAAGCGCTGGTTTGGTACCAGGTCTTCATGTTAATAGAAACACTTGCAAGTGTTGTGTTTCCTTGTGTGCAGAGCGTCTCTCAGCTCCCTTCCTGAGTGATGAGAAAGGATAAAAATGAGTGCAGAAGACCTGAGACCATGCAGCACACCCCATGTGTGGTGGGAGCCTAGTCTGTCTGTGTGATCCGTTGTTCTCCTGCTATTTCCTCTGCAGCTCTCAGATGCCTACGTGGACATCCTCACCCCAGTGCCTTAGAGTAGAAGAGTATGTGGAGGCTTTTTAATGAGGCGATTGTGCTGAAATGGCATGTCTGAGTGTCCCTCTGATGAGAAAATCTGACACACAACCACACACACAGGTATTCGCCCACAGGCAAAGACCTGGGTGGTGATGGCACCATGTGTTGGCAGAGGAGAGAAGCTGGGAGGAGGCCCACTGCTGCCGGCTTGCAGCGGCCGGTCGCCAGCTCTGTGGTATTTTCTTACGGTGGTCTAGGAAACTAGTGCTTCGTCTCTTAAAATGGTGAGTGCATGGTGGCTTCACAGGTTACTGGCCTGAGCCAGGTACACCCAAGTGTACGCTAACAAGACAAAAAGAATTGGCATTGCTTTTTTTCTTTTGGCAGACTGGGGTTTGAACTCAGTGCCTTACACTTGCTAGGCAGCTGCTCTACCATTTGAGCTGGGGCCTAGTCCTTTTAGTTACTTTCCCGGTGGAGCCTTGAGTTTTTGCATGGGGTTGGCCTCAGACTACTTGTAGTTCCCTGGTAGCCACCGTCCTATATGTGTTCCACCACTATTTGTTGAGATGGTACATAGTGAATCTGTAAACCAGGCTCACTTTCTGGTATTTCTGTCCTCAACTAATTTATTAGGGCCAGTAATGGGCTGGAACTCAGGGCCTCCCATTCTTACTTGACTTTTTTTGCTCATGGCTGTTGCTCTACCACTTGAGCCACACCTCTAGCCTGGCCTTTTGCTGGCTGTTTTGGAGACGGAGTTTCACAGACATTTCTGCCCAGGTTGACCTGGAGCTGTGATACCCGAGTAGCTTGGATTACAGGTCTGAACCTCCAGCAAGCATAATTTGGCATCAAAGTAGCGCAGAGCTGGT